CACTCCATCACTGGAGGTTTTAAAGAAAAGACTGGACAGCCACTTGTCAAAAATGGTATAGGGTCCTCCAAGATCCCATCCAGCTCTATTCTGATTGATTGATTGAAATAGTATAGGATTTCCTGCTTGAGCAGGGGGTTGGACTAGAAGACCTCCAAGGTCCCTTCCAACTCTTGTTATTCTGTAATTCTGATTATCAGTGACTCATGCAAATGTTCAGCAGTGCCCACAATGTGTATGGGCTTTAACTCTCAATATTTGAGGGGCTGCCACAAAGAAGAGGGGGCTCAACGTATTCTCCAAAGCACCTGAAAGTAAGACAAGAAACAACGGATGGAAACCAATCAAGGAGAGAAGCAACCTGGAATTAAGGAGAAACTTCCTAACGGTGAGGACAATTAACCAGTGGAACAGCTTGCCACCAGAAATTGCGGGCACTCCATCACTGGAGGCTTTTAAGAAGAGACTGGACAGTCACTTATCTGAAATGATATAGGGTCTCCTGCTTGAGCAGAGAGCTAGACTAGAAGACCTCCAAGGTCCCTTCCAGCTCTATTCTACTCTACTAAATTGTGGCCACTTAGTCCCCTGGACTGCAAGGCTATCAAACCGGTCAGTCCTAGAGGAGACCAGCCCTGACTGCTCTTTAGAAGGCCAGATCCTGAAGTGGAAACTCAAGTCCTTTGGCCACCTCATGAGAAGGAAGGACTCACTGGAGAAGAGCCTGATGCTGGGAAAGATGGAGGGCAAGAGAAGAAGGGGACGACAGAGAATGAGGAGGCTGGATGGAGTCACTGAAGCAGCAGGCGTGAGCTTCAATGGACTCCAGAAGATGGTAGAGGACAGGAAGGCCTGCAGGAACGTTGTCCATGGGGTCGCCATGGGTCGGACACGACTTCACAACTAACAACAACAACAAGGCTGGACATGTTGATTTCCAGTCTTTATGCTCAATGGAGGATCCACTTTCTAAATTGCTTTCTGAAGGATGGTTTCAGAAGCCCTTGCAGGATCCAAACAGGCCGGAGTGGGGTGGGATGGGGGGGGAGGAAGGCCCCCCAGGGAAGCACAGCCCACCTACCTCCTCCCAAGCCTGGAAAAGATTAACTAAAGGACTTCCTCACGGGCCGGATTCAGCATCCCTTCCTCCTCACCACCTCCACACCTTCCCAGCACAGTTGGTTCTGCAGCAGAACTGGGGCTGGGGGGGGGAGAGGAGAGAGAAATGTGTGGGTGCTTTTTAAAGCATTACTGCTATAAAAAGGATTGCATTTTTTTTTTTTTCAAAATCTGGCACACGGCGTCACAGATGCTTGCCAAAAAGGGGCCGAGGAGAGAGGAAAAAAGAAATTTCTTCCGAGCATCCACCTGGCTAAGTCACCCATTGTTCTCCTTGGAGAAAAGGTCCACGTCCTCTCGCCGCAAAGGGTGGGGGGTGGGGGGACATTACTGGAAAGTTTTAGGGAAAGGAGAAGCGGCCTCTTTGTTACTTGCGACGTTTTTTGGACAAGGCACGGTCGTCAGAATCCGCCCCGAGTGAAGGTCAGACACGCCAATGATATTTTAAGCCAGTGTAAACTCACCTCTGGGCTTATTTTTATTTATTTATTTATTTATTTTTCATAATTTATATGCCGCCCTTCTCCCCACGGGACTCAGGGCGGCTCACAGCATATTAAAATAACACAATACAAACAACACACACAACATTTCCCCTATAAAAGCCAATTAAAACCAAATATTTGTAGCTGTGACATTATTAAAATCATTAAAAATTATCCCTATTTAAAATTCA